TCGTGTCAACTCCCTTCAAATATACTGTAACTCGTCCAGTGCATCAAAGACACTGGGCGCGTCAGGAAGGTCCCAAACATGCTCATCATGGACATATCCCAGGCGCTTGCTTCGGTCAGGCACGAACACTTCGTACACACGCCCAAGACCAAGCGCGCACTCCCTCCCAGATCATACCGCTCATCACCAGTGTCCTTTCCGACCACAGCACCACCCTGTCCTTCGATGATGCTAGGCGGACGCATGCGCAGTCCCAGAGCTGGAGAAAGATCGGCGACGGCTGCGGGAAAGTGGTTATTAGAATCAGAGTCACCCGCTCCAGATCGGGAGGGAATTGTGATGTGGATGATGGACGTAAGCATGGTGGAGCTGCGTGAATTGGGAAGCCGGCAGATTTCTTTGAAATGTTTTGATTGACAACGCCTGCGACCGCGGTCGAGGTAGAGCGAATATGGCGAAGGAGTTGGGACGGGTGGCTCAAATCTGCCGAAGTCCAGCCCAAGCTAAGGTGAATTCAACCAGAGAGAGACTTGTCTGAAAATATGTGCCTACAGAATCAGATGTCCATGGGCGCGAAACCAGAGAGTAAGCCTTTGAAAGCCTTGAAGTCGGAGAGTGAATCATCCAGGAAACGGTCTAGTAGCTCCTGGACGCACATGGGGTTGGTTGCGTCCATCGCCCGGGGGCGTTTAGCTCTCGGTCTGGTTTTCGCTTTGGCTACTGTGACGGAGAACAAGACGGCACGTGCCAGCCGCGTATGCATCAGCTAACTGCTCCGACCTGTCAACCGCACTGCATCCGTGCCAGACGGAACACAGCCATACTTCGCGTGCCTCGCTGCTTGCTCTCACCACTCATCCGTGCATCATTACCCCTCGCAATGCCGACGCCCCCGTCCCCAGCAGTTCCTCCTTCGGCTACAGTGATACTGGACAACATTCTGCCGGCGCTTAGGCTTGCCAAAGCGGGAGTTACGGGGATAGGCGTTCCTGGAGTAGAGCCGATAATCAATGGGGTTCTGGAGTTGGCGACCATGCTCTCGGTATGCTACTCCAGATTTGCGATGCTCTTCTCTGACGAGTCCTCGAGACGATGAAAGCCAACAAGGAGGACCTTGCGAAACTCGAAAAGTCACTAAATACAGTGATCGCTATCAACCCCGCTACTGCTGGCGGTGATCTGAAGCAGCGACTCACCAAATTGTCTTCGTGCGTCGTTGAGGCTGAAATGCTAACCTTCTAATCCATTCATTCGCATCGGGCTCCAGGGAACTTAAGGCGATTGCCCGAGAGTGCAAATCTTTGGCGGAAAAGAGCCGTTTCAAGCACTTCTTCAAGAGTACCGATTATAAAGAAAGAATCCAAGGCATCAAAGATTCTATAGCATCTTTAATCCACGAGTTCGCCGTATGTAAATTATTCCTTCTACTGATTCTAGAACTTATTTGATTGTTAGTTCTACGGCAATATCTCGATTGAGAAATCTGTCGACGCCATTCTCAAGTACATAAATATTTCTTTCTACCTCAGTCCAAGTATTAACAGTAAAATTGATAGCATACTCACGAAAGAAGTTCTTGCGAAGCTGAAACCTGTGCCAGCACACTATAATGCCAATCACACCCCGGATAAATGCATGGATGGCACACGTGTTGATATCATCAAGGACATCGTCATCCGGTTGACTGCTCCTCCCAATCCATCAGAAAGAATTGTCATGCTCAGTGGGCCTGCTGGTTCAGGGAAATCAACCATTGCCAAGAGTGTTGCATCAATTCTGGCAGAGGATAAAGGCATTCTGGCGGCTTCTTTTTTCTTCTCGCGTGATTACGCCGACCGCAAGGAAATTGAGCACCTCGCAACCACACTAGCTTTCCAGCTTGCAGACTACGATGTGGTGTTCCGGACTAGACTCCTGGATCTATTGGAGACTGAAACTCGCATTCTTGATGCGGAACCACACGTACAATTCCAGAAGATGGTTGTAGAGATCCTTAACCAAATGCCTCCAAGTTTGACCCTTGGGTAATCACCCTAGATGCTTTGGATGAATGTGGAAAGGAACGTGGCCAGATGTTCCTTCGATGGCTTTCAGATAACATTGGAGAGATCCCGGACCACATTCGATTCTTCCTGACTGGACGCCCAGATGTTCCATCCTACCTCAAGTTTGACACACTTCTTTCCCTCATGCATGGCATTATCCTCAATGAAGTGGACATCAAGCTTGTGAGCAATGATATTCATTTGTACATCGAGCAGTCACTTGATGGTGCCAACTGGACTACACGGCACCCTTGGAAAATTCAAGGTCATAATGTGAAAGAGATAACTGACCATGCAAATGGACTCTTTGTATTTGCAGCAACAGCTGTTCGCTATGTTCTCGCAGGATTACCACAGGTGCCACCACAGGAATCTGTTGACTATCTCCTTGGTGGTGAACCTCTCACAGATATACATGCACTTTACCAGCGGATTGTGGATGAGGCAATCCCAATGCCTCAGCCAGGAGACCGTCGTGCACAGAGCTCTCATGATCGGGCCATGAAGATCATCAGCACCATTCTACACCTAGAACCTCTGGATTCCCAGAGTCTGGCAGTTTTACTTGAATTGGATGTTGAGGTGATTCAGGGTATATTGCTTCCGCTGAGTGCTGTGCTCCATGTCTCCGATACTCCTGGGACTGCAATACAAATTATCCATCTTTCATTTCGAGAATTCATGACATCTTATGTTAAAACAACCCGTCCTGAGCTCCTTTGTGGCACAGAAGATCAGCAGCTTTCTTTAGCACTTGCTGTGACAAAAGTGATGCATAAGGAACTCAGATTCAATATATGTGATCTGCCAACCTCATACTTGCAAAACCATGAAATGCCTGATTTTGAATGGAGGATCAACACATATATTCTACCACATCTCCAATATGCATGTCGATTTTGGGTGGATCATCTTGTAGCAACAACATACAACCCTGCCACTGTAAAGACTGCAGAGGACCTTCTTTTGAGGCAGTTTCTGTTTTGGCTGGAGGTCCTTAGTTTGCTTGTAATTGTGAATGCAGCCCAATCACTGTCCAAATTACTTGTATGGGCTAAAAATGCAGAAAAGCAGCAGAATACTGCACTTGTTGTGTTTGTCACTGATGCAAACAAGTTTATTTCCTCCTTTCAAGATGCAATCATTGATAGTGCTCCCCACATTTATATCTCGGCTTTGGCATTGGCACCGACCCAGTCTAAAATCAGTCAAACATTTCGGCCATCATTCTCCAACCTATTAGCTGCTACAGTAGGAGCGAGAACACATTGGCCAGAAACCCTTTCAAGGGGAGATGCACATCCCATGGCATTTTACTCCTCCCTTGAATTCTCACCTGATGGCAAGCACATTGTGGGTGGCTCCAATGGCAGGACTGTCTGTATATGGGATGCAGAGACTGGAGCTGCGCTCCATGACCCATTGGAAAATCATACCAACTTGGTTCCCTCTATCGCATTCTTGCCCAATGGCAAGCATATTGTTACTGGCTCTAAGGACAAAACACCTGCATGCATCCAGGATGCAAAGAATCGACCTAAACTGTTGGAAGATCATCTTGACTCAGTTAACTCAGTTGCACTCTCATCCAATGGCAAATTTATTGCATCTGGCTCTGATGATAAGAGAGTGCGGATTTGGAATGCAGAGAATGGAGTTGCACTGGGTAGACCATTGAAAGGCCATACTGACTGTGTTATATCAGTTGCATTTTCACCTGATAGCAGGTATATTGTCTCGGGCTCTGATGACAAAACTGTATGAATTTGGGATGTAGAAACGGGAGTTGCTATTGGCGGACCTTTGGAAGGTCACACTGACTGGGTCAGGTCAGTTGCCTTCTCACCTGATGGGAAACATATTGTTTCTGGCTCTGCGGACAAGAATATCCACGTATGGGATGCAGAAACTGGAACTCCAGTTGGCAAACCTTTGACAGGTCATGTTGATGGGGTCAGATCTGTTGCATTCTCAGCTGATGGCAAATATATTGTTTCTGGATCTAGTGACCGGACTCTCTGCATCTGGGATGCACAGCGTCAAGGCCCAGATAGTGTGTTTTTAGAAGGGCATACTGAGCCAGTTACTTCTGCTGCATTCTCCTGTGATGGCCGGTATATTGTGTCTGGCTCCTATGATGCAACTATCCGTGTATGGGATGTGGAGAGTATATTCAGCAAAGACAGTGTTTCATCAGGTTCTGGAACTGGCAGTGGATGGAGTTTGCTCAATGTAAGACTCTTCCTTCAAAGTTTATTCACATTCTTTTACTGACTTACTGGTCTAGTCCCTTCACCTCAAATCCCCTTCCACCCCACTATTTTGGGAAATTGAGGATGGCTGGGTATCTTGTAAGCCTTCAGAGCTACTCTTTTGGGTTCCACATTACCACAGGGTTGGTTTATGGTCACCACACAACACACTTGTTATTGGGCGACAACAGACCCGTCTATCATATGACAAGTTTGTCTATGGCACAGAGTGGACAAAGTGTTACATTCCAACAGATGGGACTGCATAAATCTTATGTTTTCCTATATCTTCCTCCTAATTTGGCAATTTCCTTTCTGCTTTTAAATGTGTGCTCTCTATCCCATTAGTTCTAGGCGCATATAGTTAGTTAGTGTGACATAAATGGAAATCCAGTAGCTGTGTGTAACATACCATGGTGATGTAGTTAATATCAAACAGATTCCCATCTGGTCCAGTGCATCTATCAATCAATGGCTAGACACCCTTGTGGGCTTGTCAAAAAAAACCCTCCATGGGATGACAGGTAGCACAGATGCCGCTGTAGGTAATCTAGGAGGGAGAATACCTTGGAGAGGCACGGGGGAGGCCCAATTCGGTGCATGAGCAGGGCACAAAGCACGGCCACGGTCAGCACGTTGATGGATGCTCGTGTACAATCCTATGGCTACCTCATATCAAAATGGAGTTTGACATTGTTTTAAGGGGTACATAGTGTAGTTGGTTATCGCGCCCGCTTCGCATTGCAGCTCTACCTCTATGCTTAGGTAAGCAGTCACTGAAGACAGAGGTGCTGGGTTCAATTCCCAGTGTATCCATTTTACTAACGGATCCTTGCCCCGTAGCCTCCGTACCACTTGCTCCATCGTTGCACCCTCAATATTCCACATATTTCCTAGGCACTTTGTTTTTATGTTATTTTTTCTCATTGCTCTGAAAGAGACTATGGATTCATCAGTTGTATCCTTCATTCTCCATACTAGTACTGTCACATAGCTACATGTATGTTGGATTAACACCCGAAGCACTGACGCACTGCCTCCGTTGGACGGATGGCTGTGTGGGCGCTGAGGCGGGATTGAACTTCCTCCGACTGTTCCATGCATCCGCACTCACCTTGAACTCACCTCCCTCACCCTGACTCCTACCGAGCCTTACGGACTCATATACGCGCTGTTATTCTTGTGCTCCTGTCGTGCTTGCAATTATCTCCTTAGGTACTTATGAGTCGTTCTTTTGTATTTAAGCTGTAGTTATGAATAGAGCCCTCTGCGCGTTTGCAGAGGGTCACTGTGCATCGGGCCAATTTCCTACACATGTACCCAGATATGATAATCAAGTCCCCATTAACTTCCCCCTCCATCAATTTTCTCTCCCATGTCTGGAAATTCTCACATGTTGCAGTGCAAATGGGTGGGGGAACAACAGATGTGCAGAGCTGCCATTTATAAGCGGCTAGTGACAATGCAACCAGAAAAAGGGGTTCAGGACCCTGCATCCCTGTGTCAATCTTTTTTTTTCTGGCTGGGACTCAATCAAAAGGCATATATTTCGCATCAATTCAAGGCAGGCGACAAGGACATGGTATGTGGAGCACTGTTGCTTATAGCTGGATGGAAGATAAAAGCTGAGACAGCAAGGATGGGGTTCGACTCCATGTGCATCTCAATCGACCACTTCAATGCCTTTTTTTATATGGTGTTGAACCTGAAAGTCTCATAAATTTCACCACAAGTGGGAGGCGGGGAGATGTACAGTGCACAAGTGTCTTGTGGAGCATGGTGGATGGACAGGATTCAGAGGCCAGGAGTGATCATGCAGGATAGAGGATGGTGTGCTTTGCATTGCTGGACCTTGATTCGAAGTCACAGGTATATTCAGGCCCAGATGCACTGTTATGGATGGATGGAAAGAGTACGTGGTGTATGGCACACCACTGCTCTCCATACCGTGAGATAGAGTGTTTTGAGGCAGTAGGATGGGATTTGACTCCTCGCATCCCCATTCCTCCCCAGGGCGCATGTTTTTTTCCTCTGGCGCTCCTGGAACTCTGTGATTTATTAGTCTGTAGTTTACCGCGCCACGGATAACCAGAGATCGATGTTATTACGTAAAGTGCGGACTTTGAATCTGTTCCCACGCTGCCCACCACAGTTCAATTGTGTTCTCTTAAGCTTTCCCCGACTCTAAGCAGATTGTTTTGACTCAGTATCTGTACTAGGTATTATACTTCCCCATGCATACAACGTAGAGTGGTATAAGGTTAACTGAGCCCATAATGAAAAAGGGGAGTGTTGAAAGCCTGAACTCCTGTTGGATGGGCGAACTTGTCGGCCCCAAAACTTTTTGCTCGCTTCTACGAAAGTGGTCCAAATCTTGTAGGAACAAATAATGGTGTCCATACAACATTTATGTCATTTTACATACCCCGAAAAGCTGGTGTGGCCAGCGAGGGGAATATTTTGTTTTGATTGTCAGTTGTTGACAACAAATGATTTCATAATTGGTTTATTCGTTCCTCTCTCGAATAGGTGACTTTTTTGTGCTACAGATGTCTTTCTGGGGTAGTAACACACTGTTATACACCTGTTCTGCACGATGCTTCCCTGTCAATCGAGAGCAAGACGCGTCGTTTCCTGGTGTCACACTTGTGACAGGACGCGTGTTTATGTAATAAACCTGATCTCCAATCAATCGATCCTGTTAATCGACAGACTACAAACAGGCGAGGTACGAGCCTTATCGTTTGTAGCATCTGTTTATAAGAGACTAGTGATTTTGTTATGGAATATTGTAGAATTCATTATCTCATTGAATTCTCTGCATATTATTGATTATAATATTCTATTGTTGGCTTGATAGTGAAGACACACTTCTAAACCAATATTCTGAGTCCCAGAACTTGACTCAGACTCAAGTTCAAGCTTCTGAACAGCTTAAACTCAAGTACGTTCGCATCCATCAATATTTGATCGGAACTATCCGAGTTTGATTTGAACTCGTGCTCGCTGCGAAAACATGTTTCCCACATGTTTTCCACATCAATTAAGTGCTAAGCCCTTATGGTTTAGTGCATGGCCAATCTATGTAGATGCTTCTTTACTTACACAGTACCTGCGAGATGTTCGGAGTATAATCCTGGTCTTACTGGAATATTCTAGAACATTTCCATAACTCTGACTCACATTCCTTAACCATTTCAAGGAACATTCTAGTACAACACAAGAATGTTCCAATGCTACGTAGAATGTTCTAGCAACCACACTCCTTAGCTATATAATGAGAGCCTGTCCTCATGTGACGGCACCACATCTTTACTTCAATCCATCACGTAGCATCTACAACTGCCTCTCGAATAAGCTAGCCAACTGGCCTATAGCCGACTTCAAGTAACTACCTAGCCCATCGTAGCCTATAGGAAGTTATCCGCCTTGTGTAATCTCTTGTTAAGCGCAGAGCCCACTGAGACACAAGGTCACAATTGTAGTGTTCCTGTTTGACTGATTTAAGTTTGAGTCACTCGCATTGAGAATTAACGAACTTCGCTATCTGCTATCACTCAGATACGCTCTAACGACTTACGACTAACGACTAACCAACTAATATTCCAAAAACATCACTCACGACTTCAGTAATTCTATTACTGCCTTACGCTCGTAAATCGCTAAATCCTAACAGATTTATCGGAGTGAAAGGGAGGCAAGGAAAGAGGGTGAATGGCTGCTATTAATAGAAGAGGCGAATGTTGGCAAGCAGCAAGACGGGGTTCGACTCCCCACGTCCCCATGCATACAGGACAAACATGTATTTTCCTGTTCCAAGATCTCAACGAGTATAGTGACTACTAGATTAGTGGGAGCGGGACTCGCCCAATCCCACTATCAGTGCCGAGTCCCATTAAAGAATGCATTGATAGTGGGACTCACCATCCACGGTGGCACAGGTTGAAGCTGCTATCCAGGTTTCATCAAGCCGACGAACGGGCAAACACTCTGTGACATAATGTCACCCAGGTTCGAAAGCGGGCGCCAGAATTGCAGAGTGTGGGGTAGCTGGAATAGGTGCAAAAGCAACGGAAATTGAGTGTAAATACAGTTGTCAGTTAGCTCTGAGCTTAGTGTCCAATCCTGCCACCAATTCAACTGTTTACTACATGAATTTGTCGTTACTCGAACAAGGCTGACTTCCCCGAGGATTCACAACAAAAAAATCAGCAGAGCCAGCACAAGTCTCAGGAGTTTGGAATTCTAATAGCAACATTAGAAGATCCATTCGCCACAGGGAGGATAACTGTATGACACTGGTGGAAGATTTCGAGTTTTTGAGTGAAAAAACTGGTGAAAATTAGTTTGGGTTTTACACAAGTTTTTCGCCAAAAATGTAGGTGAAAAACTCAAGAGTTTTTCAGCAATTTTCCATTTTATTTCGAAAATTTCACCTAAAGTTGGAAAACTTTTGAAAATGATTCAAGTTTTTTACCTACATTTTTGGCAAAAACTTCTGTAAAACTCAAAACATTTTTCACCAATTTTTTCACTCAAAAACTTGAAATCTTCCACCAGTGTGACCTATCCTAAAACATTCAAAAGATATGCTGAAAACATTTACAATAAATTTCCGATGTTTGTGGAATATACAGAAGATGTTCAAAATAAGTTCTCAATGACCAGGATATTTTTTTCATACTCCTTGTTATCAAGAAGATATTGTGAACATATTTTATATATTGCAGACTTGAACACGCAAAAGTCATTGTAAATATTTTCACCATATCTTTGAGATATTTGAGCACAAGTTATCTGGTTATCCTCCTTGTGGCATGTCACAAATTTTGACCATGCTCCCAATCGTGTTTTCGGGCCGAACTACGCGACCTACCTGGGAACCGACTCAAGTCGACTTGAGTGACTTCGAGTCGCCCAGCCCGACTCGACTTGACTCGACTCAAGTCGGTGACTTCAAGTCGACTTCGTTGGCATAAGTCTGAAGTCGCAGCAACACTAGTCACATCAGAATACCTCCAGAAGGGGCATTTCCACATACAGTCGAAGCTGTCATAACCCATACCCCTCGGTGGACACCAAAAGTTATGGGTTATGACAGCGTATGGGGTTTGAGAGAGGCTTACATAAACTGGCATAAAATTCCGAAAAGAATCAAAATAAATTCCGGCAACATCCAGACATGTATCTAGGTTATTTGCGGGTAAAGTAATCAGTAATGGAGGTTGAAACAAGCTGCTGTGTCTCCTCGTATTGAGTCTCACGCCCAAATGCGGCCAAACAACCTCGAGTTTGCGCGCAAAAGCCCCATCAATGTCCGCGAGGTATTTGGATAAGGTTGAAATGGCATGGAGAGCCTCCTTTCTGGTTGGCTTAGGCTCCCCCAACCTCTCCAGCAAGTGTCTTCAATTTTTCAACCAGCGCAAGCTCCTTAGTGTCAAGACGCGAAAGACCACGGTCGTAATCGGAAGCAGTTTCGAGCTTCTGAATGACTGCATCTTCATCGACGTGATTGGCATCGTTATCCAGCCACTTGTCCTCGGCGGGCATGAGACGGTCGGCTGGATCATCCTTCTTAGCCCGTGTCAGGAGGGCATCTCGACGCTTTTTAACACTTTCTGCAAGCTGAGAAAGTCCTTTCTTCAATAGAGCAAGCGATGGGTGTGGCGCCATGATGGTTTGCGGGCAGATTCTTCCGAAACAAATATTTGTAAATACACCAAATGGGGTTAAATTATGGCTTTCTGTCGCCAAAAAATGTATGGGATATGGGGTTTAATTGAGAACCACCTCGGTGGATAGCCAAAACCTATGGG